GTCCCGGGCAGTGCAATCCCTGGACAGGAAGCCAAACTTGAAACTAAGGCATAAATACAATAATAAGCATTACATTACAATAACAAACAACATGAACAATAAATGCAATCAATAAAACAAATCAAATGCTATCAAATGCTATCAAATACAAATCAAACACAAAATACAAATCAAATACTAAATACACATTTAGAAGCAAAAAGGACCATGGTCTTACACTATTTACAATTATTTACACTACATACTATGGCCATAGATAGTAATGAGCTAACCTAACCTGTCGTAAAGAACGACTTTAGGTTCAGAGTTCGAAGACTTACGGATCCGAACTACGAGGTCATTCAGCCTGTTTAGGACCATGTGCGGACCATCCCAGTGTGACTGTAATTTAGGCCTGACTCCTTTTTCTCGAATCAGGTTCCACAACCACATTTTGTCTCCTTCATTGAATCTGTGTCCAGTAGCTCTCGTGTCGTATCTCGTCTTCACTTTCTCTCGCCAAGTTGACTTGCTTTCGTGCAGAAAGGTGCATCACTTCAAACCGGGCCTGGACATCTTGGATGTGTTCCACAGGCGATGAAGGCGAATCCGTAGGGTGACCAAACAGGCGTTCACAAGGCAGACGAAGGTCTCGACCGAAGAGCATCCGGGATGGAGAATAGCTGGTAGTGTTGCGTTTCTTTTCGACCCTAGCATGATTTCGGCAGCTTCTCGAGCTGGTTCTTTCAGTCAAAGCGTCAGCATTTCCAGGTGAGGATCTCTTCTGAGGATGGATAGTCATGTCTTCAGATCATGAAAGCAGTTTATTGTTTTTGAAGTCTAAGGAAAAATTGCATTTCCTTAAAAAGTCCAGTCCGAGTATGCATGGATCTGTAATATCCGGCACATATGCCGTGTGATGGTAGGCGACACTTGCAAACGTGATGTTCACGCTTAACTTCCCAGCTATGTCGATCTTGTCACCAGACGCAGTCTGAAGGGTAACACAGGATGGCGTCCAAATAAGTTTATCTTTAAACTGTTCAACTAAATCTTTTCTAATGATGGTAACATTAGCTCCTGTGTCAATGATCATATTGCAAGGAACTCCATCGATATGCCCATTGATGAACAGTCCGTTACTGTTGCCACTCACCGTAGAAATCTTGAGTGCTTCAAAACAAGGTTTTTCATTATCTGGCAATCTCCGTTCCTTGATATGGTCATTAATTTGTTTCTTGCGTCGTCGCTGAGAAATGGTCTCAATTTCTGTGCTCTGGGGTGTTCTGCAGTTCCTTCGTATGTGGCCCTCAACACCGCAGTTCCAGCACTTTAGGGTTGGTTTCTTCTCACTAGAATTCTGTCTCAAGGCATTCACTGGTCTTGTCAAATCAACCATTTTATTATCCGTGCCCTGGGGGTGTTCTGCAATGCCATCGTATGTGCCTTTCAATACCACATTTCCAACACCTTAGAGCCACTTTGTTCTCACAACTACTCCATACCAAAGCATTGACTTCTCTAGCTAAATCATCTAAACGAGCCATCAGTTGATCCACTGGCTTGTGGACTCGCATAGCTCTGACTGGGTAGCAGTCTCTATGAGTTGCTTGCTGGGCTGCCTCGAATTTCATGGTGTACAACAGAGCACTTTTTATATCCTTAACATCCGCCATTCGCAGTCCTTTCTGTATTTCAGGGTCCCGGATACCATCGATGAAATATTGCAACGACAGGATTTCTCTTATTTCTGTTGGGCACTCCGAAAACGCGTGAAGTGACAGCCTTTCAACATCTGTGGCGAGCTCCTGAAGTGTTTCGGTGGGCTTCTGCTGACGGGATTTTAGTTGAAGCCTGCTGTAGTCTTTTCTCCGAAGCACAGCTCCAATGCGCCAGATGGAGCTTCAAAGTCTAATCTCTGGTTTTCGGGAAGAGTCCGCAGGATATTCCCTGCGTCTGCTCTCAGAGAAGCGGCGAGATGACAGGCCTTAGCTTGGGAATCCCATCCATTCGCATTCGCCACTATAGAAAACTGTGTTTTATACACTTGCCAAGAGGTCTTCCCATGATATGTAGATAACTTCAGAGAGAGATGAGCAGACATGGGTAAAAATTTAAAACCATCACTATTGTTCCCTGCTGTCGCTACGAATTTCTTTAAAATATTCACTTCTTTGGCAACTGCAGAAACCCGGTCATCAATTTGTTGTTGAATGGAACAAACTCTTCCTTCAATTCGTTCCTCTACAGCAGAAACTTTCATTTGTACTTGGTCTCTTTGATGGAAGAAACTCTTCAATTTCTCAAACCTTACTTTCAACCGAGTCTATTCTACCTTCTATAGCTTCGAATTTGTTTTCTATTACGCAGGTAATTTCTCTTTTCATTTTGTCCTGACCTGCTTTCATCTCGTCTTTAGCAGATTTCATCTCTTCCTTAACAGATTTTTGACAAGCATTCATTTTCTCTTTAACGGCTTCCTGTCCCGCTGTAATCTCTTCTTTAAAGGATGCTTAGCTAGCTTCCATCTTTTCTTGGAACGCAGCAAAAGCACTGATGAGCTGCCTCAATTTTTCTTCCACTGCTCTTGTTATTGGTATTCAAACCCCACTCCTGACACCAAAAATTGTTGCGTGCGTACGGGTTTGTTTGAATTTAATGCACAAGTCCGATGAAAAATGGACAAAATTTTATGATTATCACAATAAAAATGCTTAAATTCCCACAGATATTCTTTCAGTATTACAATATCTCACAGTAGTTATCTTTCAACTACTCGAAAGTTCATCAAAAGTTAATTCAAAACAGCCAAAAGAAAGTTAATCTGCAAATTCGCTACAATCAACAAGAGCAGTTTTCTAAACAAACTCTTAAAACAACAACAAGCTAACTAAAATCAATGACTGACTGAATTGAGAGGTTTTCCTCCTTTTTATAAGATTTTTAAATTGTGCGCGAGAACTTTCTAGTACTTTTTCGAAATCAAAAAGAGATATTTATTAAATGTTAAATGCACGCGCTCTTGTATTTTCAATTTTACGGCTTAGCTTTCTTTTAATATTCGTCATGCACTGCACTGCACGGGAAATAAAACTATTTAATTTATAATTCAACTAACATTAGCTATTTAAATACCAAATTCGTAACAATATTGTTGTGCCCGATCATTTTTGCATGACACTGTATATATATGTTTGCTGTGGCTAATTGCAACAAAAAGAGAGGTACAGAACTAGCAGTCCCATGTACAAGTATGTCCCTGTACAAATAGCAGTCCCATGTACAAAATTAGCATGGAATAGCAGTCCCATGTACAACATTTCTACATTCAAAAGCTACTCATTTTTGGGTTATGTGAGATACATAAATACATATGTATATACAGACATCATGAAAAAGTCTCTTCTGAATCCATTTTATATCCACTTTGCAATCTGTTTTAGAAAAAAGATTCTTTATTCTGTCCATACGTCCATGTATGTCAATGCAAAAACATTGTTCAAATGGATTCAAGATTAAAACGGATATTTTCGTTGAAATATGATACCCCAAATTGTTCATGATTATAATACTTCCCTTTATTTCATACAAGGAAGTAAAAATGGTCTTAATAATGATATATGCTAATGCAAAAAGTTAATAATATATTTTAGTGCAAAAAGATCTAAAAATTATGATTAATTAGATTGAATGAGCTAAACATACTGTTGATGTGCTTATTGGTCTTGGAATACGACTAGTTTTTGGCAGTTTAAACTATTTAATTACCACTTGTAACAAAAATAAAAAATCTATTTGTTGCGTAAAATTATTAGTTGTTTTACAAATACATGGACTGCAATGAAATGATCATTTTTCAGACATACGAATAAAAACAGCAGGTAACTTATACAATGGAAGAAAAAAAAAAAGATTATTGCCAAAAAAAAAAAAACAACTAAGTGGTATAGCTTTATTTCTTAAAAAATAAGATAGTGCATTTCGACATCACAAACAGTTTGAAAACTCAAGCACAGTCATGTATAGATTCGATTATTTTTAGTTTTATACTATATTCATACAAAAATGAGCTCTGCTTGCAGGACCAAATGATCTTATTGATGTATGTAATCAAAACAAATTAGAAATAGCTAAGACACTTTTGTTACAATTTTCTTGATGAAGTAACTAATGTGAATGTCGCATTAGTTAGAGACTATCTTTAAACAAGATAATGCTCATCATATAGCAACTGTTTATGTAAGTGACACATTTTTCTCAAGCTTACAGATCTCTAGAACTTCATCCAATTGAAAATAAGTTACAGACATGTTACAGTACCATTATAGACCTCTTGTAACATGCACAAATTTATTCAGCAGTTATAGAGTATACAGAAATAATTCCACTGACAGTATTCAATATTTGTGTGAGCCCATGCCAGACAAAATATCTACATACACTACTACTAGAAGTATCATATTAATTTATAATGGTTATAGATTTGACTTGTTCAATAAATGGGTTGATTGCTATCCAATTTTAATATAAACTAAATTTCTTCACCTTTGCACACCTGCCTAATGGTCAATCACATTTTATCATAATTGAAGCTTTTCTTTTATAAGTGTGCCAATTTTTTTTATCCACAGCAATATTATTCTAATTGTACTTGAAACTAACTATATATATAAATAACAAACTAAATTAAATTATTTAACTTACAAAAAGCACACAAAGGTTACCTGCCTAGCTTCATTTTAAGTTTGAATGAGCATCACAAGAATAGAATCCAGAATTTTGTACCCCTTTTACTGTCCAGCATTTGCTCAAGTGGATTGATTGACAGATTTTTAAATACCTTTATGTGAAAATCCATAAAAATATTACAGACGCAAATATCCAATGCATGTGACCTGAAATTAATCTCATAAGATTCATCATCTGCTAACCTCCATACTGTGGTAATATTCTTTCCTTGGTTGTGGTGGCAAACGTATATGCCACATGTTATGATAAACAGGAATATAGTGGCAACTTACCCCAGGACAAGATCCAGGTCTATAGCCCGCCGTGACGAGAGAGTGACAAACACGTGAAAACAGATTTAATTCTTGCTTTATTGGATACTAACAATACTGAAGAGATATTCCTTTTTTTTTTTTTAATCCGGTATGTCACATGACGATATGAGGCCTCCTCACTCAGAACAAAAAAAGATAGATCAATTCTTCCACACAGCCCTTCGAAGACTTGGTGTATTTCAGCTCATACACATGCAGGTACTCTTCATCGGGATGCCGGGCGAAAATGCCAAGCCCGGGAAAAAAAGGAGATTAGCTTAAATTTTGCAGCTACAACATCAAAGAGAAAGAAAACTCGCTTCCTTTCATACACACTGGGAGACCTAAAGAAAGCTTGCACGATAAACTCCCACAAGTTTGCATTTTTACTCCACTCTTACTGTCTTTCTCTATGCAGCATCTCCATCTCGCACCTTCACAATCTCCTCCTTCTCCTCCCTCCTGGTAGACAAAAAATACCGCCTTTTATAAAGTTCCACAGTTAAGTTTTGCCGCCCAATGAAAAAAAGATCCAGCGTCAGAAGGCAACCAATCGCAAAATACCTTCAGCTACCCAGGCAAACAGAAGTGAAGACGCTAGTTGTCTGACGCAATACTTTCTTCCGCTTACAACAGTTGTCTGATGCAATGCTTTCCTCCGCTTACAACAGTTGTCTGATGAAATCTGTTCCTCACCTTACAACACAAGTTGGCGAAAAAAATGAAACTGTCACCAAAGGAATCTGATGCAAATATCTAAATATTGCCATAACGTAGTAAATAATTAATTCAATGTGACCTCGTCACATATCCACCCCTCCTTCGGAAAAAAAAAGGGTAAAAAAAAAAATTCCTATGTACACGAAGAACATTCCTAGTGTTAAGAGGGAGCCTCATATCAACACATGCCAATTCATGTGAAATTGCTGGTTAAAAATACATATATTACACACAAATTGCTATTTACATAATAAATAAAAGTACATAGTATACAAATGCCAGACAAATAACATAATCAAATGCGCTATAAATAAACATACAATTTCTAACATATTAAAACATGGAGATCACTTGGTTACATTGCTATCGTTTTAACACCAAAGTATATGGATAATTGTGCAAAGAATCCAATTTTACACTGTTGGCACAGATGATTAAAGTTCAATTGATAGTCTTCTGTGCATCACGCACAGTAATGGAAGCATTCATTTTAAAAGTCCATGAAAAATATTATAGTCCATAATATCAAAAAGTCTATAAATTTAGCATAATTACCGTACTGAGTATTCAGGCACAGTCTCTAACACGTGTACTCAGTAATAAGTGATATAATCATTGCACATTCACATAATTTGTCCAAAATATTGAAGAACTAGGCACATAATTGATAATAAATGTGCGTTAAAAAAGTACACAGTCCACAAAAGTAGTCGAGATGTCAAACAATTTGAACATTGTTCATATAGTTCATAACCTACATTCTGTTCTATTTGCACAGAATTCAGCGTTTAAGAGGATATATGGATACACAAACACAGAAATATCATGTGTAAACAAAGTTAACTTGCAAGACATAAGACAGTTGTGGTGGTAAATGCATTAACAGTGAGTCCTCAAAGGCACAGTAATAGAATATCATGACATACAATACTTCTCATGCTATACAACAAACAAAATTCACATACCAACTTTTCATGCAAAACATGTTTCATGCTATAAATATGTAGTATAACACATACAGTTTCAAGATAAAAGTAGGGCGTATAAAATCTCATGGTGACTAAAGATTAGAGAACCGTTACAATAAAATAAGAAAACATTCTTTATGATAAAGCAAAATTGCAATTTTTACATAAACCTAGTTACACTTAATAAATAGCATTTATGATGACAAAATATTATAAGACAACTATAATCACATCATACAGAGAGATTTTGAAAAATAAAACACCTTTAATCATTTTAAATATGTTAGGCACAATGTTGTTGTTGAATCTATAATTGATATTTAAGGGTGATCAAGCCTTAAATACTAATGATTATGCCTGCACAATCATAAGAATTCAACAAAAGAGGCGCAACAGAATAAATTTGGTACAATTAGATATAAATACACTACTTAACATATAATAACTTTTCATATATATCAACATTCTCCAATACACTACTATGTTAAGACGAGAAGAAAATTTAAACGTGCTGTCTTTTTCTTAGATTATACTGATGTGTAACTTGAGGAGCAGGAGGTGGATTTTGAACTAAGTGAGAGAATCGTTTTGGAGCTAAACGAAGGCGATTGATGTGAATTTTGAATGGTTGAGCAAACTCATTGTCAAGTGCTCGAATAGTGTAGTTTACATCACTTGATTTTGAAACAATACAGAATGGTCCAGAAAATCTGGGTTTAAATGTATCCTTAGATTTCAGATACACTACGTCATCAATACTGAATGATCTTAATTTGGCATTTTTCAGTTGACGAGTATTTTGTTCTACTTGTTTTCGCTCAAGCGTCTCATAGGCATGTTCATAAGTTAATTTCAGCTGCGTTAGAAGATCACACAAATAATGGGATTTATCCAATTGAGCTGGCCTTGGATCAGGATGAAATGTATCAAAAAGTAAAGATAAGTTTCTTCCAAAATGCAAAATATTAGGAGAATAGCCTGTTGAAGGATGAATAGTACCATTGTAAATATTCTGATGGATTAACAATGCATTTTGAAATGAAACACCTTTTTCATGAAGGGTAAGTAAAGAAGTTTTGATTGAAGTATTAACTCGTTCACTTTGTGCATTGCATTCCGGTCTCTGAGGAGTACAATGAGATAATTTAATACCTAATGATTTTGTAATTGATTCAAACACTAATGAAGTGAATTGTGTGCCCAAATCAGTCAAGATCATTTCCGGTCGTCCATGTACAGATATATATTGTAATAAATGCCCTGTAATAGTTTCAGCAGTGAGATTTTTAAGTGGATATAAAGCAAGATGCTTAGAAAAATGATCTAAAACAGTAAGAACATGGCCACAATTCCTTATAGGACCGACAATATCCATGGAAATAAAGTCATTTGGGTACTTAGGTATTCTGATGGCTTTATATGGTGCTTGTTTAGGAGTGAACGACTTATATTTGTTGCATAAATGACACGAGAGGACAAAGTTCTTTGTGTCGTTATACATGCCCTTCCAAAAGTAACGTTTCGTTTCGATAAAATCTCATAAGTCTTTTGCACCCCAAGATGGGATATATGGGAAATTTCTAACACTTTAGATTTCAAGTGCTTGTGGAACAACAATTAACTCAGCATTATTTTGTTTGTTTGAAATAAACATAAGAAGCTTGCTTGACTCATTAATGAAGAAATTATGTACCTTTGCAGCATTAAGCAAGGAAGGATTTTTCAAAATTGTGATAATTTCTGAAGTAAAAGGATCCGAACTTTGCTCAGCAAGAAACGTTGACTCAGAAATTTCATGAGCAGGATCTCCAGAAGAAACCAGGGCATTCACTTGGGGTCGTTCAAGATTTGTTTCAACAAACGGAAGAATAACTGAGTTATCTTCAGAGTTTTCAGCCAACACTGGCTGATTATGATCAGGATCTTGCATACGTGACATGTAATCAGCTAGAGAATTTAATTTTCCAGGAATGTGCTTAAATTCAAAAGTATATTCACTTAACTCCATAAGCCACCTAGTCGTGTTGTCAGCAGGTGACGTAGATTTTTGATAATGCAACAGAGGTTTACTATCAGTCAAAATTGTAAACTTTCGATTATATAAATATGATTTGAAAGCAGTAACAGACCGATAAATGGCATAAAGTTCCAATTTTATAGCTGGGTATTTTCTTTCAGATGGTGACAATGTTCGACTATAATATGACACAGGATGCAATTCATTGTTGTGTTCCTGCAGAAGAACTCCCGAAATAGCATGACCACTGGCATCAGTATTCAGTATAAATTCCTTGTCCCATTGTGGTAAGATAACAAAAGGTTCAGAAAAGAATATATGCTGAAGTTTCTCAAATGCAACGCTATGCGCATCAGTCCATTTAAATTTATTCTTCTTACTGGTCAATTGTGTCAAAATATCAGTAAGTTCGGCATAATTTGGTATGAGATGCCTATAGAAACCACAAAGGCCTAGAAATTTTCTGACCTGGCGGACAGTCTTAGGTGGTTGAAAGTTAGTGATCTTAGCAATATTAGTTGAAATGGGTTTAATTAAGTTATGAGAGATGTGAAATCCTAAATAATCTATAGCTGTTTTGAAAAAGACACATTTTGTAGGAGACAGTGTTATGTTATACTTAGATAAAAGTTTCAATACTGCAGTCAACTTAGTCATCATATCATCAAAGTCAGAAGCACCTATTACAATATCATCCTGATATGCATGCACACCTACGATGCCGTCCATTTTTAGTTCATCAATAAGCGTATCCACTAAAGCTTGAAAAGTACTGGCGGCAGTCTTTAAGCCAAAAACTAGCCTTCTATTAGCAAAGGATCCAAAAGGTGTAGTAAATGTTAACACATCCTGCAAGTGATCGGGAAGTTTAATTTGCCAATAAGCATTTTTTAAGTCAAGTACTGAATAGTACTTGTAAGTGGAGATGTTGTTTATAAGCGTTGAAATCTTTGGAAGAGGATATGTTGAATGTTCAATAATAGAATTAAGCAATCTTAAATCAAGAGCCATGCGGTATTTGGGTGGATTATTAGGGTATTTGGGATCTGGCTTCTTTTTTACTAACAGCATGGGACAAGCCCATTCAGCAACATTTCGATGAATTAAACCAGCTTCCTGCAATTCCTGAAGATCTTCTTTAACTTGGGATTGCAATGAATAAGGAATTTCAAAAGGGAGGGTCCTAATGGGATTCGAAGACCTAAAACAAATTTGTGGGGTTACCCTATCAGTGCAGCCAAGTGATTTTAAAGATTTGGAAAAAGCTGCATAATTAGAGATTAACACATCCAATAAACACTGCCTTTGTTCAGGAGAAAGATGGTTAAG